CGGTAAGCAATTTGCTTCTTCTAGAAGTCGCTGGGAACACTCAGCAGGTCAGGCAGCATCTACAGAGAGAGGAGAGTGAGTTAACGTTAACTCACTTTCCTCTCTCCATAGATACTGCCTGACCTGCTGAGGTTCCCAGTGACTTCTGTTTTTATTTCAGATTTCGAGGCATCTGCAGTATTTTGCTTTTTGCACCTTACCGTTGGCACTGTTCCCACCCCTTTTAAAACGGCCATCATCACTGATATCCTTAAAATACCCTCCTGGACCCATCTCTGCTGTCAAACTACTGCCCCATCTCCAACCTCCTTTTCCTTTCCAAGGTCCTTGAACGAGTCTTGCTTCCCAGCTGCGCTCCTTCCTCTCCCACTACTCCCTTCACAAACTCCTCCAATCGGGTTTCCATGCTGCCCACAGCACAGAAACAGCCCTGGTCAAAGTGACAAATGATAGTCTGTCCATCTGCAACCAGAGCTGCCTCTGCCTCCTCATCCTTCTTGACCTATCTATTGCCTTCGATACCGTTGACCACTCTATCCTCCTCCACCGCCTCTCCTCTTACCTCAACCTTCATGATTCTGTCCTTGAATGGTTCAGATCCTACCTCTAACACAGTCGCCACTTCATCTCCACAAATGGTTTCTCCTGAAGCCCCCACATTGTCTCGTGCGACGTTCCTCAAGGCTCTGTCCTTGGTCCCCTCTTCTTCAACATCTATATGCTCCCTCTTGGTGACATCATCTGCAGACATGGGGTCAACTTCCACATATATACGGATGACACCCAACCCTTCCTCTCTGCCTCCACCTTGACTCCAGGACAACTGTTGTCCTGATAGAATGTCTGTCAGACATCAAGTCCTGGATGAGAGCTAACTTTCTTCAGTTGAACGTCAACAAGACCGAGGCTCTCCTGATTGGCTCCCATTAGCGTCTCAGGCGCTGACAGTATCACCATTCAAGGTGCACACTCAACCGGAAGCTTAGTGTCTTGTTTGACCCTCAACTATCCCTTCTACCCCACATTCGTGTCATGACCTACTCTGCCTTCCCCAACTCCGCAACATTGCCTGGCTCCACAACTGTCTCACACCGCAGGCCACTGAAACCCTCATACACACATTCTTAACATCCAGGCTCGACTATGGAAACTTCCTACTTGTCGGCCTCCCCAACTCCTCCCGCCATAGGCTGCAGATCATCCAGAACTCTACAGCTCCAGTTCTCTCCCGTACCAGGCTCTGTGACCCTCGCACCCTTATTCTCGCCCAACTCCACTGGCTCCCCACAGAGGATACGGTTCAGGATCCTGGTCCTCACTTTCAAAGCCCTCCAGGTCTTGCTCCTTCCTACCTCGGTGTTCGTATGAAACTGTCCACTCCCTCCGCTCAGTGTGCTGCGGCTGACCTGCTCCAACATTGGCGGTCGGCCTTCAGCCTCTCTGCCCTCACCCTTTGGATCTCCATCCCTCATTCCCAAGACCCTCCTCTTCAACTGACCCTTCGGCCATCCTCCTATCCCTGCCCTCCACACCTCCTGATCCAATCCCCCTGCTCGGGTCCAAATCCCTGATTATTCAGCGTCCTCCAGCCCTAAAAGTCACTATACAAATGTAATGTGCTGTTGTTGTTGGTACACTTCTGACGTTGTGATGTAGTTTAAGTGAACCGAAACCTTAATTTAAAACATTGATTTAAAATAATGTTTAAATAGTGTATAATGAAAGGTGACCCCAATGTGCTTTTTCTAAATGAAAGTTTTGTTAACCAGAACAGATTTCTTTTGAATGTGCATATGCTTGTGGTTTTACTGTATAGTTAAATGATAGTGTGTTAGCCTGGCTCAGTTGGTAGTATTTTTGCCTCTGCGTCAGAAGTCTGTGGGTTTAAGCCCTAAATCAGGGCTTGGAACTCTCACATAGTCAAGGCTGATGCTCCAATGCAGTGCTCGGGGTCTGCTATCACATTCACCCACAAATATACAGGCACTATGCTACTCAGTAAAATCTTGTGAAATGCTTTGAGACATCTCGAAGATGTGAAAGGGCGGTCTATCAAATACAAGGATTAATTATTTATAAGTTTATAGTGTGATGAAAATCTCTGTTTTGTAAAAGAGTAACAATGGCTATTCTGAGAGAAGTGCAGGGTTGTACTGACTGGCTTTGCAGTGTGGATATAGTAGATCCTCTTATAGTGTACAATCCTCTTTATGAATGCTATTATCTGAGGGTGTTTAATAGCCAAGTATTGTTATAGAGAAGGGGTACTTTAATTAAGGTATGGAACTGAGAGAACCACTCAGTAACATTGTTCACTGAATGTCTCTTTGGTGATTTTCATTTTGGGATGAATTATTCTTTTTAATACAGCAGTCATTTACAGAATGAAAAATGAGCTGTGCCTGAGGATGGGAGGATTTTGTTTTTCAAACATGGATTGAGATATAAGCCTGAACATCAAAGACCAGTTAACCTACGATTTACAATTTGGGAAATGCTTTAGAGCAATATTCGCAATGCTCTTTTGAAGAGCATAGACACTATAAGAAGTCAACATGGGTTTACAAGCAGTCGATCATGCCTTACAAATCTGCTGGAATTTTATGAGAGAGTATTTAATCAAGTAGTTGAGTGCCAACAGTCCATATAATTTCCTTGGATTTTCAGAGTCTTAGAGAATTATGTTTCTTGTAATGTATAACATTTGCTTATGTAGGTGTTCACCTACAAAATATACAGTCACTATTCTTTACAGCAAATCTTGAGAAGCGAATCCAGAGGGTCCTTATGACATGAAAGGCACTTTATCAAATGCAATGATTATTATTATGATACAAAGCTACGCAAATGTTCAGGTGGATACTATCTCTGTATAATTTTAATGGAGGCCACTCCCACTTTTCAGATTTCTCCCTCTTATATTGATAAAAACTTATAAATTACACAACCATTTCCTATTTCATAAGGTCTTGGAGTTATTAGAAAAAAATTCTACACTGTCAATTTCGAAAGAAACTCAAAAAAACCCTCCTGTCAATCAAAATTCATCCTGGCCATTACCATAGTTCAGCTGAGTCCTAAAGGCAGCCATTTTCAAATTCCCACTGTAATTATTACAGGTGAGGCCACACACCCAATTTAAACCTTTAACTTCAGAAACAGATGGAAATTCAACTTGATAAATAGATGGTAATCTAACTTTGTAAACAACCCTTTGTTTTGGAAATAATCAACTCAGCAGGTTAGACCATTAACAATATTAAACTTAATAAAGACATGAACATCAAACAAAAACCGATGGAAATCAAATTAATAATAGGGAATTGAGCAGTCAGTCAGGCTGCCTTTCCTGCACACTACTGTCCATAAAACTCCATTTCCCCTGGCCACTCGCTTACCTGAAGCTCAGTTTATTTACAGCATTTCCCATGTGTCCTGCGTGCTGTCCTGGATGTTGATTATTCAAGGCGCTCCTGGGAGGAGAAGCAGTGATGAGAAGCAGTCTCTTGGTCTCCTGACCAACAATCAAAAGATTTGTTTGGATCCAAACTTATCGGTCCACAACACCTGCCCCACTGTCCTCCATCACAACATCAAGCTGCTTTTTAAATGAGTCCAGTGTCCTAATCTTTACCACCTTTCCTGGCAATCTGTTGCAGCCATTGATAACCCTCTGAGTGAAGAAAAACTTCCTGGTATCTGTCCTGAAATTGCCTTTACACCTCTAAACCTGTGTCCTCTTGTTTACTGTCTTATCGCATCGTAAAATATTGATCTGGGTTTTAGTTTTTCAACCCCTTTTAAAATTGTATACACCTCTTTGAGATCTCCTCTGAATTATCTTCTCTCAAAACTGGTAATATCCCAAGTAAAAATAGTTATTCACTTCATGACTGGGTTTGGAGACATTGCTGTGCATAAATTGGCTGTTGCATTTGCCTACAAAATGCCCTACCATTAATTATGTTTGGAGTATATTCTGGGTAGTACCTTGAGACATTCTCCCGACGTGAAAGGCCCAATATCAAATGTAAGTAGTATTATCAGAAGTGCACAAAAGGAAGTGTGTGTGCAAACAACATGAGAAAAGTGAGTGAGGGTCAGGTCTGAGTGTAAGTATGAATATAAGAGAAATAATGGAGAGATAAAATAGAGAGTTAGAGAATGAGGGAAGAAATAGAGAATTGAGAGGGAGGGAAGAAGGCAGGGAATCAGTGTTTGTGTGTAGGAGTGAGAGATGTACACAGGGGTGACTCCCGACTTTTTTAAAGGGAGCATCCCAAAAAATATGTGCACAACCTAAAGGAATGTACCGTAAACAGTGGAATGTTTTCCGTATCGGGATGAAGGGAAATATTGTAACAGAAGATGTTGTGTTTGTTTTGGATTTCTGTTGTACAAAATATTATATTTATAAATATATCTTTTTTTTAAAAAGTGTAAGAGTGAGAGAAGGAGAAAGAGGCAAGAATGTGAATGAATATGAGACAAGTGACATGAGTGTGATCAGATACACTGAGAGAAAAATACTTGCTCTGTTAGAGGGGAAGGGAGTGATACCAGTGTGAGTAAGAGTGATGCCACTCTCCCACCCTCTCTGCTCTGCACTGCTCTTTAAAGTGCTTCATCATGTTATTCTACAAATGCTGTACAATAACGATGATGATTGATGATGGAATGATGCAGGATTGTGCATTACATTTCAAAATTCTATTGAGTTATTTTTAAAGGTTGGTGCTTCATGGTGACCAACCTGTTTGATAAACAGTTTGACCGGACGTATTTAATTGACAAAATTAAGAGATTCAAAATGCAGACTTCCATCTCTGTGGGGAAGCCAGATATTACAGAAATGAGTAGATAATTAAAGGAGGCAAACACTGAATTGATAAAACTGTGATAATGTGTGAAGGTAACCTTTACCTTTGGAGATAGTTTTTAGACTGAAGGAAAATCTCTTGAAGTTTCATATTTTCAATTGTTTACTTTTGCCTTATCAGGATGAACATTCACTGAGCAGTGAGGAGTTTGAGCTCAGTGACTCCACATGGATGTCAGTTGATCGCATGAACTCTGACCAAAGCTCTACCCTGGAGGAGAGAATGCACAGTCCCCAGAACCTTGATGGTCATCAAGATGGTAAGTGCCATTGCATGTTATAAATGCTGAGTAAATGGGAGCAACATTGTTTGTGTTCAATTAAATGCTGCATATTGGGGGAAGTAATACTTAAACTGTATGAGACCAATGAGATTCAACAACGATAATTTCATTAGATGAAATGAAGGGTTCCATTTTTTTATTACTGCTCTACCTTCATGCTCTACTCCCCTTGCGTGGTGGCTCCTGAACAATTTTGAATCTTGATAATTAAATTCCGTTTGTTGGCAAATTTCAGATGAGAAAACAATTTCTTCTGTTTCTACCTCAGGTGAGTTAATGAATTATTCTGAGACAGAATTAGAACAAGAGAAGGTGCTTGGTTATAATAAAACTATTAATAGGTGACTCTCTTTTAAGGAAATGCTGCTTCCTGTTCTGATGCAATTGAAGCTCTTACAGCGTAGGATACGATACAATACAGTTTACATTCTCATAGTCCGTTCACTTTGGGAGGATGTCTCAAAGAACTTCACATTGCTAGATGGGCACCTGAGCTGGGGATGAGAGCTGGGGTATATAGGGAGGGGAAAGATGACTGAAAGAGCAGTCAAAGCAGTACGTTTTGGGTCTTGCTTTCAAAGAGGGAAATGGGGGGAGCAAGTGGAGGTACCCTGGGATGCAATTCTAGAGAGCGGGGGCAGAAAGGCTGAAAGCCTGCCTGCTTATGATGGGACTGGTAGGGCGAAGGACACAAACCACATTGAGCAAAGCCAGGGTTGGTAGGGTTGAAGGAGGTCGAAGGATAGACATTTGCCCCATTGAGTCTAAACTGTCTAATCCCAATCTTCTGCTCTTTATTTATTCTCCTTTATAATTCTTTCTCTTCTTATAATAATAATAATAATAATAATCCTTGCATTTGATATAGCGCTTTTCACGTCGGGAGGACGTCCCAAAGCACTTCAGAGAATATACTGTAAAGTGAATTGACTGTATATTCATGGGCGAACGCGGCAGCCAATTGCGCACAGCAATGTCCCACAAATAGTCGTAGATTGAAAATGACCAATTTATTATTGTTTTTGTTTTTTGGAGGGATTATTATTAGGCATGTGGAGTAAGGAAACTTGCCCAAGGTTTCGCCCTGCCTGGAATTGAACTCAGGTCTCTCGCTTGCAAAGCGAATGCTCTAACCACTGAGCTACAGGACTCCATGGAAAATGAAAAGGAGAACATTTTTCTTTGTGTTAATCTTTTCCAATGCATCACCCACCCTGACAAAATGGTGTTTGAATGTCCTTTGTTATTTTTGCACTAGCGCATGAGAGATGATGACATCTCATGAGCTGCTGCTCCAGCCCGCCTATGTGAAAATATGACTCTGAATTTTGTGTTTTTTGTTATTATTGCAGTGCATTAGAAATTAAGCCATTGGCATTGCTAGATTGCTTTGAATGTTTGTTTTGTGGAGTCCTGTAGCTCAGTGGTTAGAGGACTCGCCTTGGAAGCAAGACACCTGGGTTCAATTCCAGGCAGGGCAAAACCTTGGGCAAGTTTCCTTATTCCACACACCTAATAATAATCCCTCCAAAACCAAAAACAATAATAAATTGGTCATTTTCAATCCACGACTGTTTGTGGGACACTGCTGTGTGCAATTTGCTGCCGCGTTTCGCCCACAAATATACGGTCAATTCACTTTACAGCATATTCTGTGAAGCGCTTTGTGACATCGAGAAGACGTGAAAAGCACTATATCAAATGCAAGGATTATTATCATTATTATAAACCACTATAGCATTTGTATACACTTTGAAAGGAATAGTATCAGTGGTATTTGGATTTTGGTGGTGCAATCACAATATTCGTGACAAAACTTGGTTCATAGTGTCCTAGTTGCTTATAAAACAGCATGTTTAATGATGGCTAAGGCAGTGGCAGTCAGATCGAACACACTGTGATTTCACAGTTAGCAACCTATGAAAAGTCTCAGTAATGGGATCTTTGAAGGTAGCAATCGTGTCTGGAAAACCAAAGTGAAATGGCTTGGTGTTGAGGTGCATGGTCACCCTCACTCTGCATGAAACATAAAAATATTCTGTAATAATAAGTAATCTTTCAGTCCGTCCTGGGGTGTAGGTTAAGCTGTAGGTTAGGTTAAGGGTGTCAGTGAGTTATGGATAAGAAAGTGCTGTTTGCCAGGAGGTGAAGCAAGTGTGTGTATATAAAAAAAATGCTTTGCTATTGATAATCACAATGTGGCTAAAACTGAAGAAGTTAATATTCACTGCTGTTGAATTAGAAAATAAATATGAGGACATGGTGAATTGTTCTCCATTTTTTAAACCTCCTCCATTGAATTCCCATGGATGAAACAGCATGTCATGTACTGATGGTGCACTATACGTTTTCTTCCCCCCTTGTGTCTGGTGCTGCAGCCTTACCCGACTAGAAACTATTGGTTTGGGTCTGTAAACTCAGACCCTGCATTATAATGGGCACTCTAAAATATGGCCATTCCGGGTCATCAGGTTGCTGCTGAGGTTACTCCCTGGGCGCTACGCATGCATACTATGTGCAGGAAGCCAGCTAGTCAGCGCTGGAAGCCACTTCTGGTATATTATGGTTCGAGGTGGAAAGTCCAAGCTATGCGCATATTCACTTTATACAGCAACAACTTGCGGGGTAGCATCTTGGAGTGCTTTTCCGGTGGGGTAGGGAATATTATTAGTTCCCAATAATAGAGCAAACTTATTCAATGTCTGTCTGCTCCTGCAATATATTTTTGTATAGAAAGTTACTGTATTTGGTTTCTGATAGTTAGTGGTGAGAGAGATGTCATGCTCATGGAGATTTCAGATCAGTAAAGAAACAAATCAGAGTGCTCACAAATACAATTCTTAAGATGAGAGTGTGGGTTGAAATAAGTGGCTGAAATTTTTCATAGCTTTTTCAAAGGCAGGGGTATTGTATTCCCAAAGGATTGCAAATACTTCCTATTCTAATTTTAAAAATACACTGGAAGCATAATCCTAGCAATTAAAAGTCTGTTACCTTGATAAATTATATAATCCATAATAAAGAAACCTCATTTAACAAGAAATATTTAGCAACTGGGCAAAATTAAGTGGGTGTAATTAGCAGCAGATTAGCCAGATGGCCTGAAAATTGCTCTGGATATGCATAAAAATGAAGAAAAAATTGTTGGGATAAAATAAAAAGAGCTTTACTTTGTCTATTCATGGAAGTGCTAACAATGGGAAATTGTTCAGATATCAAGATTGTGTCATAATCTTTGCATATGATATCACTTGTAATACTGAAATGTTTAAAAGTGCTTCACAGTTAATTGTTGTCAAGTGTGTATGTGTAGGCTTTTCATCTTCAACCTATCCTTCTTATCAAATCCTGGACCTGATTTGCCACTCAACTCCACTTCCACCTACCACTCCCAATGTTTTTTCTGTACTTATCAAAGAGGAATGGTAACTGCTTTGTTAATGATCAGTACTAAATTTTCCAAAACTCTCATCTGCATCAAACTCCATATGCCTATTATTCCAGTCCTTGCCAAGGTCCACTGGCTCCGTCTCCCAACAATTGATTTCAAAGTCCTCACCTTCACCTTTAAATCCCCTCATGCTCTAGCAGCTCCCTATCTCAGTGACCTCCTCCTAACCCACTCTCTTCCATTTGGTTAAGACCTGCCTGCCGTGAGTCCCTCCCCCTCTTCTTATCACCATTGGTAGTCGAGCTTTTAGCCACTAATCTAACCTCTGTAACTCTCTCCATCTCGCCCTCCTCTCTTTAAATCCTATTTAAACACCTATCTCTTTGACCTTGATTATAGTCGCCTTCTCCCTTACTCTGTCCTTGTGAAGTATTCTGGGAAAGGATCCTTCATGAAGGACACCTAAATATAAATGGAAGTTACTGTTTATTTCTTGGGTCCACAAACATTTTGAGTTGAAATGAAGTAGAACTGCTACCCACTGCAAGGCAAACTACTGGTTGTGAAGACTCAATAAATAGAATGCAGATGCATTGTCTGGAACATATTTGTTATTTCAGTCAGGAAGGTAGAAAAGGTACAGATATTATATCAGGATAACTTTAAAAAGTAATATAAACCACAATAAGAAGCATTTCACTTTTCATCTGATAAAATAATAAAAAAGAACAGTGGCATTATGATATATACCATGCTGTTGTGGGCACATTTATGGCAATGCCTGCAATGGTTTTTTTTGTGAGTGCTTTGTTTTGATAACAGTCTTTCCTGGGCTTTCAAAAAATGTATCCTGAATTTTATCTTACCGTAGCTGTATGCACGTTTACTGTCTCTAACGGTTATCTGTTTAGCAACAGCATTGTGCACATGACAATCCATTGGTAATTATTTGCTAAGTGCAATAATAATCCTTGCATTTGACATAGTGTCTTTCACATTGGAAGGATGTCTCAATGCTGATACATTACGCTGGTAAATGGAGTGATTGTGTATTTTGTGGGCAAATGACACAGTGCTATAGCATTGGTTGACGTTGGCGTGCTGGATGCTGTGTTTCTGCTCCCTTGGTTAAGGGTTGTTAAAGAAATGGATCTGGGTCTGGAGACATTCTACCTAAACAAACAGAAAAAGCTGCAAATCAGTGATAAGTACCAGTACGAAAATGAGGTTTTGGTAAGAACACCTTATCTTTCAGGTCACCTCAGAGATACAGACTGAACAGGACATAGACAAAATGGTAACATCTATGATATATAACTATAATCTCAAAGACAAGGACGTTGCAACTGTTATGGCTTTAAATAGGATGGAGGCAGAGAGAGAGTTGGGTGTCATCTGCATACACGTGGAAGTTAACCCCACGCCTTCGTCGAACAGGATCATGTAGATATTAAAGAGGAAAGGACCAAGGATTGAGCCTGGAGGAATTGTGTCAGTGGACAAGGAAAGATTGATGATGTCTGTTAGCAGGGTGGAAAGGAGGTGGACATGGGAGGGGATAGGATTGAGGGAACAAATGGTGGGG